CTGTAGTATCACTTACTTTGTTTTTGATGTACTTTATAGTGCCGTACACGCAGAGATGGCTCGACACGTAGCGACAAAAAAACATAAATTGCCTGTCTCCTCTAGAAACTTGCAGCATGTTTAATCAGAACTTTTGTGACAAAGCGGTGTGAAGTAGAGGCCAGCAGACAAGCTCCATTGATGCTGTGGCAGGCTGATGATGACATAGGCATGATGCAACGGAGATAAGGAGGAGCAGGAGAAGAGAGGAGCAGAGAAACGAGTGATTAGGTGTGGGGAGTATTCATTTAGGAAGACAAACAGCTTCATTTAAAGCTAGCCAAGCACAGAGGCAGTCTCTCCCACTTCAGATGGGTTGAAATTTGCATCTTTTCACTGACTGGGGATCCAAGCGCCATCCTCACTCTCTTGGGCTCGAGTGATAATGGATTATCTAAGGTCTCGCCTGAAGAGCTACTGTCTTTGATTTGCTTTTCAACACATTTTCTGTTCGCTCTTGCTAAAGTAATTCCTCTCTGCTCTTGATCTGCAGCTGATATTGTCACAGCCATACTTATCTACAGAATGTAAGGGCTGTTTGCTGTTTTGTTTCATTCCTTGACTGCATACAGAAAACAAGCGACGGCAGCGATGGCAGTCATTTCACGTTTATTATACAGTAGAAATGCCTAACTCGCTACCATTACATTTGATTTCTCCCTGTCTCTCCCAATCACAATCTGCTGATGGCTTTACAGCTGGATATGAAATTAAAGTTTTGAGCTCAGCAAACAAACAGATCATGATGATTATCTGATAAACACACCAGTGGTAGGTTTCTCTGCAGGCTGTTATGAGGCAAAAAATGGTTTAGCTTCTACCATCCATCATTCATTTCTCTTGTGTCTGCTGTTCTGAATGAAAGTATTGCATTGCAACTTTTAAAATATCTGATGGAAGTATATTAATTCACTTTGGCGGAGTGAGTATTTCAGCTTTGTTAATGACCCAGTGTGGGCTGGAGGGAGGGAGAGTAGCCTTTTCTGTGTGTGTGTGTGTGTGTGTGGGGGGGGGGGTCTCTATGGGTGTATATGGAGCTGGATTGTAGCTGCCATTATCCTTGAGAATCAGCACCTACTCATGCCTTAAAGGTTTCCGCTACACTTGACATACATAACGTTCATGCATTCACACAAATAGTAAATATTTAGCACTTGGATACTTGCCTCTATCACCCTGCCAGAGGGATTCAGCAGCCTGGGCAACACTTTATGTTGCTTCTGTTTAAGAGGCTGTGTGTGAATAAAAAACCGTCAGCATGGAGATGAGAAATTTTCCATCTGAACTATTTTCAGGTGTATTTGACATTTCTGTTATGTACCATGGGGTATTTTCCAAGGTAAGCAGTTTCTGCACATATACAGAGGGAGGACTTGCAGTAGCCTATGTGGTAGAAGTCTATTGCAGTGCATGTTTACACCCATGTCATGTGTGTATCGAAATCCAAATGAAAGACATTATGATAACCTTACACTAGCGCTTCCTAGGGTTTCCACTGTAAGTCAGTGTAAAGAAGCATTGTGGACATTATGGACACATTGTCAGTGTCCATATGTAATACAGCAGGATTCATTCTTCAAGTGAAATGCACGGGGCTGTAGTTAGAGAGATCGTCCTTATATAAAGAATTTGGAGTGTGGTGTCTTTTTTAGCCTTTCCAAAATCAACAATGCAAGAGCAGAAGTATATGAAATGGAAAGTATGTTTACAATTTGCTCTAATGTAAGGTGCAAGCTGTTAGCATGTCCAGTTAGCATTACTCCAAAGCCAGAGAGCATCATGAAGGGGTTACTTTGCTGATTTTCAACCAGCTTTGTATCATAACAATGTGTCTAATATGTGTAAATGAACAATGTTAAACTTCCCTCCATCTTACCAGTGGCCAAGTGTTCCTGCTCATCTCCCAGCTCAAATTCACCAGATGACGCATTTTTCATCATCCAGTAGATTTTGGTTGGCTCCAGGGCTGTTGTTGGAACTACAGATAGTACTTGTGCACTTTCACATGCCTGCCACCACTGACGCAAAGGGTGTAGAAGGGGATCAAGAGAGAGACCTCAAACTGTAGAACTGCAGTGCTGATCAAATATAAACCAAGATTTTGTTACTGTATTGTCTTTTGTCGTCATATTTTAGTGCCCTGTTTGGCTGTAATATGAACAGGAAGGTGAACAGGAAGGTGCCTTACTGTTTCCTGTATTGTAAAAATGGAGGCTAAAAAATGAGGGATCAAACTGTAAAACCAAGCTCAAGATTCTGTTGCCTATTTCTTGTCTAATTGTATTCAGAAGCATATTTTAGTGAAATGTTTAACTGTAATTTGAGATTATTTGTAGCCAGCTGGCCACCATATTGTTTCCTGTGTCGAAACGGACAAACTCACCTTATGTCACTCATCAGAGAGAGGGTTTATTGGTCCAGTGTGGCGTAGTGCATTCCTGTAGTTGTAGGTCTTCTACCTCTTGAGCAAAAGCAAATTTTCCTCTGTTTTCTCTCGTCATGTAGCACCAATTTCAAAAGTATTTGTGTCTTTCTACTGCATAGAGAGCCTAATTTTATGAAAGACCACCATTCCAGTAGTAATATAACTGCTTTAACTAACCAGTTCCATTTGTATGGGGTTACAGCCGGTCTTGAGAAGCAACTGAGCATCTTCACTTAGCATTAGCAGCTCTACCCTGCTCTTTATTGAATTTGGAGAAGTTTATACCCCAGCAACCTTCAGCTAACATTACCCAAGTTAGCGTTAATGTTTGTCAAACACATTGGTTAGTTCTTAATGTAATAGCTTTTTGTTAAAAGGGAAAACATACTGCAGTAATTAAAAGTATGCAAGCTACACAGGTTAACAACGTTAGAGCACGTCTGATCTCCCATTTTCCGCATTGAACTTATAATACTAGGATTAATTAGCTTTACAATACAATACAACAAATACTTCTTTTATATCTCGTCTACATGGATTATCAACAAATGAGGAAGCTGATGTTTGCCTGGGACATGCAGCTTTACCTCAGTTTATTAGCAGGACATCATATATGTAGCCATCAACTGCCTCTTTAAATCGCCTGTATTACACTGTTGTCACTTTAAAACAGGTCAACTGGAACATAACGATTTCAGCCAGAGATACCATTTGAACCAACACACATAGTTAAAGACCCCTTCCAAAGAAAATCAAGTGTTTAACCTTGTTAACATGCCAGTATTGTGTTTTTATATGTTAAAGGAAGGGGCTAATTTGCATATTCATAGTTCTGCGCATAATAAATTAGGCAAATTGTGCAGAGTTACATCTAAGCCATTTTAGGGCACAATGGGATTTCTTTTTTCATTAAAAAAATCAAAATATGTCATTTTGATGAACAGAGATGAGTTTTAGGGCTTTAATCAATGCACGCAGAGGAACTTTAATTTAAGCTTAATTAGTTAGTTAGCAGTAGTTGGTGAAATCTCTGTCATTTAAAAGTACAGCCATGGGCTAGAAATGATTTTGTCTGTTTCTTTCTGAAATCAAGGACCCATTGTTTCAAAATTTACGTGAGTGGTAAATTTGCCACTGTTTGAAAACTGTGTACATTCAGTGATGGATCGAAAAGCTTCATCATATTCATATCTGGTTAAAGTGATATTTCATAGATCAGTGGTTCCCAGCTGGTTCGAGGTTTCTCCGTAGTCATTAGTTCAAGGTCTACACAGTTTAATTCATTTAGTGTTATAAACTTGCATTTGCCCATTTCGTCCACTTAGTTTGCTGTCTCTTTTAAGTGGCTGTCCGTTAGTAACTCACTCTACAGCAGAAAACAGCACCTCAGAATAAAAGCTTTGTGCTGGTAATTCACTGTACTTCAAAATAAAGTGTGTTTTTTAGAGTCAGTTGTGGTCCATTCAGAATGGACCCATGACCCACTTTTGGACCCTGACCCACCAGTTGGGAACCACTGCTGTAGATAATCAGGCTCTGACCAAATCTGCCTGTTATTAAACTGGAAAATATTTAACTCATCTAAGTCAAGTCTCATATTTTAACTTGAAAACATCCCAGAGTTTTTGCCTCATTAGATTTTTTGTTTTTTTTTATGTTTGTCCTAAAAAGTTAACTTTCACCTCATCAGCATTTCATGGCGGGAACATTCCCTGCTCAGTGTGTGCAGCTTTCTCTGGCGGCGCCGTAAAAACCCAGACTGGGTTTCATTCCAGTGTCACTTGACATTTATTGCACATATATCTTGACTTGTTTTTTTTCCCCCTCTCTGCCCTAAATTGTCTGCAAATATTTTTTTACCTTGAAAAGGTGGAGGAGACCCATTTTCCAATTACAGATCTTGTCTTTAGGTGTTAATTGCTGACTGACCTCTGGAGCTGTTGTGGATGCCGTGTGGATTTTTTAATAACCTCTAATCGCAGTGAAACAGAGAGCAGTAATAGAGAAGAGCCAAGATGCTTTTTAACCCAGCATCCTTCAATAAGGTGTAATCTCATACAAACACAGGAGCCGGCCATGTGCCAAGTCAAAATGTTCCCTTGCAAGACATGAGCCACTGTGATTCATGCTCTTCCGGCATTAAAATGACACGTTGTGTTTTATTTGGGTTAAAATAGGTCAGCAGAGTAGAAAAGAGCAAGATGCATCTTATTAGGATTTTTTTTGGCATTTTGGTTTTTAAAGCATCAGGTCGTTGCTTTGCTCTCGGATTTCAACTGAAAACATTTTGACATAGCAGAATGAAAAAACATTTAAAGGAGAATTAACTTTAGACTAATCATGAGTACACTGTGTTTTACTGCAGCCGCATTGTGTTATTGCTCTTGTCACATCTGCCCAGATCGTTACTGTTCACATTCTCCACACAATGATAAGCATCCAGGCCTACAGCAGAGCACTCAATTTCGCAGAGTGAATCAATCAACACCTTTGTCTTTGCTCTGTCCTAATATGTGTACATTCTGTGTTTTTCCAGGCAGCCCTCCAGCCACAGGTACCGGCTCATTGGTCATTTACCTGGAGGACTACAATGACAATGCTCCTTATGTGGTACCGTCGGTAGCACGGGTGTGTGAAGACACCCATGACATCAGTGTGGCCATAGTTGGGGGGCGGGACAAAGACCTTCCGCCCAACGCTGCACCCTTTAAGATAGAACTGGGAAAACAGCCTGGCCTCGATAAAACATGGAAGGTTACCAGGGTCAACTGTGAGTATTTTATTTTGAAAAAAGATTGGTGTGCTTTTTGACTAAACTTAACTCAAGTGTTATATATTTATATGGAAGCCCATTTCTGCCAGTGTGATGAAAAAAAAACAGTCTGTAATGCATTATGATGAGAAACAGGGGCGATTGCTCTGAGACAACAAGGGAGGCTGAACTTCCCCTAAAATTTCATAGAAGAAATGGTCAAATATGCACTATTTAATTTACATTAAAATAAGAATTTACGTTGCATTAAACGTGTGCTAGGATGTGTTTCACACCATGACTATGATGTTTATCTAGCCTGAGTGTCAGACTGAAGCTCCCAGAACCTTCAGTCTGACATGGCTTCCATTGAAGGCGATTTACAAGGGGGAGGGAATTTGATTTTTCCCTAACCAATCAGTAGAGATCAACGACTCACCCAGAATCTGATGTCATTAGTATCCATGCCTCAGGGGTGCCGAAAACAAGCGAGCATTGCCCGTTTAAAATGTCTCCATCGTTGCGCACGCCCAGCTGCATCGCCATTAAATCCAGTTTAGCAGCTTCCTTAATTTGGTCCTCCATTAACGAGAGTAGTGGCGAAATACCTCAATAGCATCGTTAATGTGGTCTGTAGGATCTGTAGTGGTCACCATGGTTGCTATCCTCACCAGTTACCCACCGGCGTACAGCTTGACATCAGCGTGGCGCTGATTGGCTAATTGCTAGACCTGCCCCCACCCCCGACGTTCATTGGTCCTTCCATCTTTTGGACGAGATAAATCACAAATTCATTGCAGTATGCCAGACCAGAGATGCAAGCCTACTCAGTTGAGTGGGCGGGGTCTATGGTCTGGAACCAGGCTAATGTTTATCACCAGTTTTCAAATGCGACCTCCCTGTCATACATTCTCGTGTCAGCACGGTGGATGCTTGGAGGCATCCACCGTGCTGACACGAGAATGTATGACAGGGAGGTCCAAGCATTCCTATGAGACAGCGCTGAGCAGGTTTTTTTCATGCAAAACGAGACAGTCATTGGATAAATGCGACAAAATCGTCACTTCCAGGGAGGCTCAGCAACCTATCCTACAGAATTAAATTCAAAATAATCACAACTCTAAACAAAATAGAATAAACTTACAAACCAATACAATATACAAAATACCCTGTACAAATAATCCTGTACAAATATAACTTAAACTACAAGGGTTAAGTTCAAAATCATCACAAATCTAAACAACAATAGTAAGGAGAGAAAAAAAAAAATCTTACAAACCAATCCAAATTAACTACTTAAACTACCACACTCTAAAAATAGGTACAGCTCTGGTTTGCTTCAAGCCAACACTTAACTTTTTGTGAAGGTTTTCAGATTAGTTATTGATTTTATTTCAGTTGGTAATGTGTTCCAGAGTTTACAACCTTTAACTGAGAGAGCTGACTGTCCAAAAGTGGTTCTACAGTGTTGAATTCTGCAGTTTTCCCTCCTCTGTGCTTCTTGTTATTCTGTTACATTTTGAAATACACATTGGCATCATCACATTTCGACGCCCAGTCCCATGCGGATATTTGCTGAGTGGAGTCTTCTGACAGAGTGCCGTCCGGAGTTCCTTATTACCATAAGCGATATAGCTCATTTTCACTGTTAAACCCATCTGAAAATCTTTGAGGTGTGTTTTGCTGTGGTTCTATGGCATGAGTGTGGTTGAAAAACGGCTTCAAATTAAATGTTCCTTTTATAAGTTACTGCCTCGCTACAATATGACATATTTTATGATGTAAACTTAAAGTGAGTTTCTCCTGTTTGAAAGACCAGCAGCCGCCACTGATGAGAAACTCTCCTGACGTAATGACTTAGTATTTCAAAATAATTAGTTAGTTTTCACCAAGCGCTTTGAGCCCACAGGGTTGCTGAAAGACTCCCGGAGGGAATGTAGAGATAAAAATAAATGAAGAAAAAAAAGGTGTGCGAAAGGGTGAGAAAAGAAAAGTTACACAAGTCCATTTCAGTGCAATAATATTCCAGTGTTAACTTTACAACCTGTCATACAGTGTGTTAATATGAGTCCATGCCGAACACAGAGCAGAGAAGTCTTAACTAGTACTGATCACATGATAAGGATGAAGAGTAAAATGATACACAGATGGAAGGGAGGAGGAGGATAGACAGACAACCAAGACATTGATTCAGGGTTGCATGACCGGCAGCACTGTCTGTGTGTGTTTGAGTGACAGAGCAGAGCTAAAACCTGCCCAGAGGTATTAGCTGTGATTGACAGCAGGAGAGGGAGGTACAGACACTCCTCAATCACCACCGCTGGAAGAGACAGATAGGGCCAGCAGAGAAAGAGCGCGCTCCCAGTGAAATGGACTGGCGCTGTGCTCATCTCAGCTGTGTGTTCATGTGTGTGTGTGGATGTGTGTGGAACCACAGGCAGAAGAGCTGGCGGTTATACCTCGGCAGCATATATCTCTGGGAAAATAACTTAAGTTTTTGCATGTCTTGATATTCAGCAACTGCAAATGAATCCTTATAACTACAGTTGTTTTTGAATTAGTTTGAGAAAACTAGAAGATACATTTAAAAACATGTTATTAATTTTCATTTTCACAAAATCTTAATGTAGATATTTTTGAATCTGTCTTTTAAACGATAGTTTTAACCCACACATGGGTGAAAAATTAAAGGAACAGTTTGTCATTTTTTAAAATGGACCTATTTGCAAAGAGTTAAATGAGAAGATCAGTGACTCTACAACATAAATATGAAAGTACCACTAGCAGCCAACTTCAACAACCAAATCTCTAAAGCTCTCCAATTAATATGTTATATCTAATACTGTACATATAATACGATGAACACTGACGCTGTCCCTTTAGGGTTGTAGTAGAACAACACCTTACCGAGACACTTAAAGGTCCAGTGTGTAGGATATAGTGGCATCTAGTGGTGAGGTTGCAGAACTAAAACTTATCCTATTTGCAAAGCGTGTAGGAGAGCTATGGTAGCTGAGGCAAAAATGGGAATGGCCCCATCTTGCACCAGTTTTTGGTTTGTCCATTCTGGGCTACTGTAGAACAACATGACAGACTTAAAGAAAGAGGACTTGCTCTGTATGTAGATATAAACAGCTTATTGTGAGGTAACGAAAACACAAAGATTCTTGTTTTTAGGTGATTATACACAAATAAAAATGTAGTTATGAATATTGTATACCATGTCTGCCAGTAGATGCTCCTAAGTCCTACACACTGGACCTTTAGAAGAGCTGTATGCAACATTCAGAGCATATCTATGATTCAAACTCAGGGCTGGGATTGCCTGCACATGGCTCTTAACATGGAGGTGGCAGAGCTGACAGTTAACGGCTAACAGCGCCGGTTGCTGCGCTTCCACCACAACACTGTCCTGTGTTATCAATGTACTGCCGCAGGAGCACACTCAGCTAGCCAGTGGGACACACTCACAGAGATTCACATGCACGAACAAACATGCACAGCCAGACTGGCTCCCATGCAAAGAACAGAGAGGCTCAGATTCCAACACACACAGTGGTAACATGACTTCATTATATGCTCAGGATGCCGCTACTCCACTATATTTTTACATAGCAAACAGTGGTTTGCTGCTATATTGATGATCTGAATGTTGCCTAGAGCTCCCCTTATCCTGGTTTTTGAGTAATTTGTTATCCACCTTATGTCTTTGAAGGTGCATGTGGCAAAAGTGTATTGTGATAAATGTTTTAACAGATTAGCACAATAACATGATCATAACATATGTACAGTATGTGTGTTTAAACTAAAATACCTGTGGAGGAATCTGTGGGATTCTTCAGAGGGAAATCTGATGGTGCTCACAGTCAGCTGTTCAATTTGTCACACACTGATATGGGTTTGTAGAAGCCTCAGGAAATTTGGCATCTCACACTGCACTATGGCATAACAAAACACACTGGTGAGCCAGAGAGGTGGGGGTGATTTGTACAAAGAAAGGTCTCTGCATTTATGAAATGTTTACTGTCGCCTTGTGACATTCTTTTGAGCACACATTGGACAAAGTAAATTTTCTAATTCAATACACAACTAAAAGTCACCTTACCCGGAGTTAACAGCCGTGGCAGACAAGTGAAATGTGCAGCTTTGCATATTGTGGCACATTTCAGCATGAAGTGAACTGGCTCCGGCATTTTCTCTTGTGTCTCTTAAGGAATTTTAAAGTGTGATGCAACAAAATGTAACAATCTTACGCAACTTAAGTGGTGCCAATTTTTGTCGCTTCAGTTGTCAGGAATGGCCTGGCAGACAGTTACTTGAGGCGCATAAGTTTTGTGTGATGATGCACATATTTAGTTCTGCTTTGCAAAGCGGGCAGCTGTTAATGCTGAGTAGATGGACAATACAAGCAGGATGGAGGATTATTGCACATCCACTTTATTAAACCTCCCTCTCCCTCTGTGTATCTCCCCCCCCCCCCCACAGCTACACACTCCCAAATCACGCTTTTGCACAGTCTGAAGAAAGCCAACTACCAGCTCCCGTTGCTCATCACTGACTCAGGGGTGCCCCCCTTGTCCAACAACACAGAGGTCAAAGTTCAAGTCTGCGTCTGTAAGAAGGGCAAGATGCACTGCAGTTCTGCCCACTCCCACCGTGCCAGCCTTCTCGTGCTGCTCGCGACACTCCTGCTCGTCCTACTCTGTAAGTACCACCAAAACCACACCAACTGAATAAATGAGAAGTTGAGAGGATATTTTATTTGCTGGTATCCTTGTGAAACGTGGATTAATACTGAATATGCCGTCTTCCCTCTAGTTCATCATTTGTTGAGAAATCAACACAGACAAGATGTCAAATAGAACTGACTCTTCATTATACTCAATGAATAACACTCATCCAAGTGTTTTTGTGCACATGATACGCTGTCGGCATCCCTTGTATTCACACATTTGGAAAGTGTGCTTTTTTTTGTATCCATTTTGCAAAAGTATGTCTGTTGCTGCCATGCCCAGGGCTCTCCCCAGGAAGTCAAACTTGAATTTACTCTGAATATCTCATTTAAGCCATTAGCGATTGCATGAATAATTCAGCCTCCTCCATTCACAACACAAACGTAATGGAGGACGTCCAACAGCTAGTTTGGTGAGAAGAAAAATCATTTGCAACTATAAGGCCCCCAGATCCTACTCGTCTGGGCTTGTTCTCTGTAGTTTATAGTCGGGCTTGCTGAACGCCGGAGGCCGGGTACAGTGGGAGGGATGGTGAGAGTGGGGAGAGAAGAGGAGGAGGAGAAGAAGAGGAGAACTAGAAAATTTAAAAAAAAAAAAGAGGAGAATGAGATTTTAGGCCTAAAAAATGGTGTAGTCATAATTATAGCATCTTTTCTTTCTGCTGATTTGCGTGTGACTGTGAAGTATTTCATTGAAGATCATCACAACAATCACAGCCATGTCCTTTTTCTCTCCAGCTGTCTTTCATTTCTTTTTATTCTATTGATCTTTACGTCCTTTTTCTCCCTCTCTCACATCCCGTTGATCACTCCCGCTTGTGTTTCCTGTCTCTCATCCCTCAGCCGTCTTTGCCACCGTTCGTCCTCCTCTGCACCACTTCTCCTGCTCATTTGCTTTCTCTCTATTTAGCAATCAGCCACACTCTCCCCATAATCCTTTTGCTCACAGGCAAAAAATCTCTGCGTCTCATCTTCTCATTTTCTCTCGGTATCTGTGCATCACAGCATCTAGCATGACCCATCGATCTTCCTCTGGCTATGGATCAATCTGTCTATCGATGCATATCTTTTCTCCAAACACTCATTCATGGTAGAGGACCACGCTGTGTCTGGGAAGGCTTTGTTTGAAGAACTCATCGTCTCGTTCTCTCATGATGCAGTCAGAGCACTTAGTTACCTGCAACTCCTGATTCGCAGGACACAAAGTATTGAATTAAATTGACACCGCATGGAGCAACAGCATAAATAAACCACACTCCGCTGATGATAGACCATTAGTCGCGGCTTCACTGCAACACACTAATCATGAGCTTAAGCTGATGCTGTGTCAGCGTTCGCGGGCGAGCAGCCACTTCTCAGAAAGTTTCACGGCAGCGATACTGAGAATATCCCAGCTGTAGCAGTCAGTTAGCTTTTCACGCTCCCCTTTTTGAGAAATATTTTGTTATCTACGGTCACCATGGTAGCAGCCGCAGTGTCTAAACTAGAAAGCATGATAATTGGTTGACATGCCAAGATGACATTAGGAGAGTCTTCTCCGCAGATGTCCTTTGACTCCGAACGACAGTAGCATTCATTACTCCACTGTAAATACTGCTGTGATAGACAGTGGCATTCATTAGCCAAATAGCTGCTCAAGATGACAGATTCTTGGGCTGCCTGGTTCTGTGCCCGTGTATACACGTCCATTCATACCAGTGAGCGCTGTTACCCTGGAGCTGGAGGTTGGAGTGCAGGGAGAGAGAGGAAACAAGGACGGTGTGTGTGCATGCGTGTCTCCATTGGGAATCTCAGATAATATTACAGCCGGGCAACAGACGTTCCACCAATTCAGACGCAGAACATCCCCCTACACACACACACACACACACACACACAGCCCAGGGAGATGACTCCTGCTCGAGCTCATCACAGAGACCTGTGCTGGGGGACAGATAGAGGGGACTGATCACTGCAGTGTATAGTCAGATAGTCTGACAGAGAGGTAGAGAGGATCCTGTTTCAATTCCCTTATCTCCAAGCTGAACTCTGACCCTACAGGAGAGAGATGAGGGGAAGAAAAATGGAAAGAGCCAGAGGGGAAGGATGGGGAAAGGAGACGAGAATAAAGGTGCGGAGATTAAACTCTTCTGTTTTGTTCTGTTTTTGCCCACCGGGCTACAGGCGTATGCATGGCCACGCAGCAGTGCAGTTTTCTTAATTTCTCTGGCTTCTCGCTTCTGTATCTCTCTTACCTTTCTCTCCCTCTGTTTTAGCTCTGTTTCTCTCCTAGCCCCCAACCCTGTCTAGCAAACGAATGTACAAAAAACAGCAGCAGGTAAATCAAAGCCCATGTAATGATGGTTTAATCATTATAATGAGGGAGCATTTATCTACAACATGTTCACTGTCAATGTATTTTATTTTGTTCACCTTAATATCTCCCTCTGGCAACACGTTTTCTTTATGATTATATTTAGCACAACCATAAAAACACTTGGTTAAGTTAAGGGAATGATTGTACATACTGAAAAAGTCAGTACTGTCTTTCCACAGTCTGAAGCACTGTCAAGCCAACAGGGGACGATATAACCCTAACCATAAAGCCTCGCAAAGAAGAAGATGTTGGCCAATCAGAAGCCTGAAAATAAACTATTACCCGAAGGCTGTCCAAAGCAGTGATCTCCTTGGCACATTCTGATACCTCTGTATCTCAATATAGTTGAAGGGTACCTCTACGTTTTTGTGTAAACATGTGAAAAGTCCTGTTGGCAAGGTTAGAACCAGCACTATTTTTCCCATTTTTGCCATTGCACAAAATGTTGCCTCTTTGTGATGTCTCACAAAGGAGACTGATGCTCTGACATTACCAGCCAAAACCTCAGTTTTCCCTTTCCACACATCAACACTGAAAATGGAGTTTCTGAACATCTTCACCCTGGATGGAGTTTTTTCAAAAAGTCAGGTTCCAGTGACCTAAAATGCAGTTTGAGTGTGGACAAAAGGCCAAAATTGACAGTTAAAGCTCCTTTTTAGAAATACCTCACTAATAACAAGCAACTTGCTGCTGGCCATATTGTATGTCATTTCCAGTAAATATCACAATATTAAATGTGTGTTTTCTGTTTAAAAAGTACAACGCAAGAAAAACAACAAGCACTCAGCCATCTTTTAAGGGGTTACGTCTTAAGTATGAGACCAAGCTTACAGTAGATACCCTAGGTGATTTGTTTACATGAACGCACAGCTGATATCCTACATGGTTTGTTAACATGCCGTAACAGAAGTACATATTTGACAGATTCAGTGACTGACTTGCTTGCTGTTAGGACACAGGGTAAGGCCTACATATCCTCAAGGAAATGTTTTTACTAGACATTATGACAAGAGAGATTAAACATGTCAGACATTAACAGATATTCCTGATGAAAAAATGAATCATGGAAAGCCTGAGCACTGCAGTGCTGATTGTGAAGCTGCTTGTTGTGTGACAGAAACAGAGAGAGGAGAAGAGAAGGTGGAAGGTGGACTATTGCACAATGATTCTTTAAGTTATTAATAACTTACACAGAACGCTGCTTTGTCACTTAATGGTCTGCCCACCCGAGATCCACGATATTTTCTAACAGGCTGGGTTGACCTGCACATTACCTCCATGTACATGTGGATTGGGCCCAAGCTTCCTAATAATCCTAACCAGTGGCTCACACAGTGGGCACCGTGGCACCCTGGGTAAAGTAAACACAAACCGGCGGGGGGGGGGGGGGGGGGGGGGGGGGGGGGGGGGGGGGGGGGGGCGTTGATAATGGGATACTATGGTCTCAAAAATTTAAACCTGGACACATCAGCGTGTGGGGTGCATGATGTGAGCCCCTCTCTTTAATGCTGTAGTCAGTGTGATTTCTGTCCAGATAAGGATGTCACACTTCCTGTATGGAGAAAGCAAGTAATGCAAGCAAATCTAATATAAGCAGTAATTACATTTCTTTGGCAAACCAAAGAAGACCGGGTTGTTCTTTGTGTCTGAGACATTTTTGTTAAATAACAGAAGACAAGGACTACAGCTGTTCTTTGCATCCTGTATAAAACCCTCTCAAGGTCATCTCATCTACAATCTCTGCAGCAGTTAGTATTTTGTGTGTGTGTGTGTGTGTGTGCAATGTTTTTCTGTTTCTCCATGTGTTGATTTGTTTCAGAGTGAAGTTCAAGTGGAGAGAGAAAATGACTATAAACAGAAAATGCCATCTTAAGTACTTCAGTTCCATATTCCATCCTAGAAATCGCATTTTCCTTAAAACAACTGAAGTGATTCACATTCATATATTTTCTACAAACTCAACATGATAGAAAGAGGCAAATTAGTCTGAGAGTCTCCCTGAAATGACACTTGAATCAAGAGAATTGATGAAACAAGTTGATTTTTGTTGAAGAGAAAGATCGTGTCTCCCCCACTGACAGGTTTTCTCTCGTTGCGTGTATCTCCTGGAAGCCAAAAGAATTTAAATGATGTGTGGGTTGTGAAACCTGCTTGTTAATATGGTGGGGAACTGTACTATTGCTGTCACAGGCCTCAGTCGGATTTCACCTTTCCATCCTCATGCCTCAAACCTCCGCACTTTTTCCGCAACGCTCAGCTAAGCAACACGAAGTAGAGCCACGTCCTCACTGGCTTTCTGTCCTAGCTCTCAGCCATATAGCACTTCACTGGGGATGCTTTTCAGCCCCTTAAATAATGTATGTAACCCTGCAGGACTGAGAGGGAGGGCGAGCGTGTGCCCGTGTGTGCAGAGTGCCAAAATATACTGTGTCTTCTAATGCTTACGAGACCTTTGTTTGCTGTTGCAGGATTGGCAGCTAAATCCCAGGGCTTTGCAGGGGCCTACTTTCACTCCCCTCCATTGTAAGCCTTTCTTTTGTGATCAATGTGCCATAGACTCTCACACACATCCACTACACAGATATATATACACACACACACACACAGATTACCATA